GATGAGAATTTATTGAAAGTATACGTATGCTCGCCAATTACTCTTCGGACATTCGAATTTGTGGACGGCGTGAAAGACCTTGACCTGAGCGGGATGATGTTCTAACTAGATGTCTCGTCCCTGTTTACGAGCTTTGATGTCACAGAAACAGAAGACGATATCTGCGAATTCCTTACCTTCAATCAGCAGGATAAAGGAATGCGGGTAACTGCACTGAAGGAGTTATTTCTAAAAATCACCTAGAATGTGCAGTTACTATTTGGCAATAACCCGTACAGGCAATTGGACGGAATAGCTATGGGCTTGCCCCTAGGCCCACTTCGGCAACAGTAACTTATGTAGCCCCATTCATTAATCCCCAGAACCTGCATGTTTTCCTATGAAAACAGTGTCAATCGGGTTTTATGGGCGGACAATTAGGACACCCAATGGAATATACTTTAATAAATGCTAAATGCATTTTATTGTACTGTATTTAGAAAAGTTGTTGAATGATGTGGCAAGAGTAGCTTATGCAGCCCCATTTATCTACCCCTAGTCTCATTATTGTGTCCTGCGAAAATGGTGGTGTAAGAGTTTCGTAGGTTGGGGAAATAGGATAGGCAGAGAGGAAACAGTAGCTTTTGTAGCCCCACTCATTAATCCCTAGAACTTGCATGTTTTCCAATATTTCCAATATTCCTATATTCCGTTGCGTGTCCTAATTTCCGGCCGATAAAACGCGATAAACACTGGTTTCTTAGGAAAATATGCAGGTTCTAGGGATTAATGAGTGGGGCTCAATAAGCTACTGTTGCCAACAATTCATATAAAAGCTGCAGGGTATTAAACTAATACCTGACGAAGTGATGGTATATTTCGATGTGATCTCACTTTTTCACCTCGACACCGCAAAACCTTGTGGTTGAAACCATCCAAACCCTGTTAGAAGAGAAGTACAACGAGACAAGCACGAAGCTCAACATAAGGCATTTAATTGGACTCCTGAAACACTGCTTTAGCACTTTTTTCACCTTCAATCGAACGGTGTTTAAACGAGTAGAATGTTCACCAATGGAATTGCCGTTATCTGGCCTGATTGCCGAAGTAGTATTACAACGACTAGAGCCACTGGTTTTCGAACACTATTGACCACGATAGTGGGTTCAGTATGTTGATTACACGACCTTCACGACAAGCAGTGCTATTCAGATGGTTACTCTCTCCCACTTCCGATTTAAAACACAATCTTTTTACTGATTATACTTGTGTCGCATTCATTTTACCAATATTTAACTCTTATTGGTTAACCTGTGTAAATAATGGTATCAGTAACTGTCACTTGACCCACTTTGCTAACTATGGTCAGCAGAGCCAGCTGTTTTTTTATAGTGTGGCTATCACGTTCACCTTAGGTTGACTTGTTCTTAACATGCAATCGTATTGTCGGTCGTCCGAAGTCACCTAACATTACCATAAGAGTGTATATCTATGTATAAAGACACAGTTTGCACTTATATTATGATACAGGCCGACGGTCGTATATAATTTGTATGCCAAAGCAATGAAACATATTTCAGCACACTAG